TTTTTATGGTTGGTTTCATTGTTATAATTTGTTACTCCCTCTATCTGAAAATAAGAGTCTCATTTGAAAAATTTACTGTTTTTATTTATTAGGATTAGGAAAATAGAGAAAATGGGTCAAGTTTTCTTTGATAAATGTCGGAAAAAGAGAGAAATGGTTATGGAAAATATGAAATCAATTAATGTAGCTGAATATTCTAATCTAGTCCAACTAATGCAAAGCAACTCTCTTTCTCTCTCTCTCTCTCTCTAACTTTAATGCAAAGCATCTCTCTCTCTCTAACTTCAATGCAAAGCATCTCTCTCTCTCTCTAACTTTAATGCAAAGCATCTCTCTCTCTCCTCAACTCTAATGCAAAGCGTCTCTCGCTCTCTCTCTCTCTCTCTCTCTCTCTCTCTCTCTCTAACTGTAAAGCAAAGCAACTCTCTCTCTAACTCTACTGCAAGGCCTCTCTCCCTCTCTGACTCTACTGCAGAGCCTCTCTTTCTCTCTCTCTAACTCTAATGCAAAGCCTCTCTCTTTCTAACTCTACTGCAGAGCCTCTCTTTCTCTCTCTCTAACTAATGCAAAGCCTCTCTCTCTCAAATTGTAATGCAAACCAACTCTCTCTCTCCCTCTCTTTCTCTCTCGAACTGTAATGCAAAGCAATTCTCTCTCTCTCTCTCTCTCTCTCTCTCTCTCTCTCTCTCTCTCTAATATAAAGTTGTATGCATTGTGTTGTATGGGAATATGAGGAGAATAATTATAAAATACCTCATTTAAAAAAAGAAAAACTAAGAAGAGTATCCGAATTGCCAATATCTTTGAAATATATAATACATAAGAAGCAATGAGGATATTCCATCAAAATAATTATTTATAAAAAAAATATTATTATACTAGAAATATTAACTATTGCCATATCTGAATAACTTCTATATTTTTTGAGATTGGAAGAAACGTTTCAGACAAATGTTGTTTGATTTCAAGGAACTTCTTATATGGAGTACATAACTTTCCTCCTTTCTTTTAAATAAATTAGATAATAATAATAATAATAATAATAATAATAATAATAATAATAATAATAGAATAAATGTGTTTTTTTTTCGTTTCTTTTTTTCTTTCTTTACTCTCCTTTTTTTTCTTTATTCTTTATCTTCATTCTTTTATTTTTCCTTGATCCCTTAATCCAATACTTCTCCTTGTTCTTACTTTTTTGGTAACCGGAAGTCTTGGACAGAAGAACTGGTCCGATCTGGTATATCTGATCTCTCTTAACTTAAGATCCGCTTTAACTCAAGTGATTTAAAATAGGATTTTCCTTGTTTCTTCATTTTTATAACTGGGAGTATAAAACAGAAGAACTAGTTCGACCTGGTATGTCTGATCTCTCTTGATATCACGATTTTCTTTGATGCAATTAACTGCAGAAACATTAGCTCTCGTTGTTCGTACAACTTAATAACCGAGAGTCTTTGACAGAAGAACTGGCCCAATTTCTGATCTCTCTTAACATCGATTCGCTTTGATTTGATGAATTGTAAAATTTCTTCTATTATTTCTACATTTTATAACTGAGAATCTTGAACCGAAGTCTGACCTGGCACGTCTGATTTCCCTTAATGTCTAGTTTTAACTCCTTTCGTTGACCCATCGGTCAAACCATGGAGGATTTCCCTTTGTCAATGCTTAGGAGCTGTACGATTGTAAGACTAGTGTCGTTTCTTCTAAACGTGACGCTTTCTATTTATTAATTATCGTCTAATCGATTTACAGACCCGTTAATTGTCAGTCGTCATACTATCTAGGCGAAAGTGCATAAAAGAAAACCACTTTCGTCGATAAAACGTATGCAAATAAGCTCCATGGACATACCAAACACCTCATTTTAAGCATGTATTAGCTATACAGTCAATCTTGAAAGTTAATGTACCTTAGAAAAACGCATTTCCTAATTAAAAAGAAATCAGGAAACAAGCTTTTTAACACTAGAAAGACTGAAACTTAGTATATACCTATATTGCCCAAAACCAGTAAAAATCACTGCATTGTGAAAGAATAATGTGTAAAGAAATTTGTCTAAAATTAATTTTTAATCCCAAAACCAGTCAAAATTACTTCCTTGTGCAATCTAGTGTTAATAATAATAGCAATCTCTAATAACAAATTCAACATGCTAGCATCGTTTAATTATCCGGATCCGAGCCAACGCTTCTGATTCGCAGTTCGCGCCAATCGAGCGCTCTGATTGGTCGGAATTTTTTTTGTTAATACCTCCTCAACCACGCCTCGGATAATTTTTCCTCCGATTTCAATATCTTACACTAGTTTTGGGAGACCCTGTAGATCCTTAAATCGGTGGCACAAAAACCAGATATCGACGCATCGAACAGCAATTCTCCATATCGTCAACAATCAATCATTCTTGCAACGCAACTCTCACGTTCCGTTGCGTAATCTGTTTATATCGGTTGGTGAAAAAATTCGCCGAAGTCAACGTTGCATAAACTGCACAAGTCTTATTTACATGAAAACTGTGTAACAAAAACTGCAGGTGTTTCGCAAATATAATAGGCGTCGAGAATCCGATGAGCAGCGAACGTCTTATTATTCACTTTCACTTTCGTTGGGACGAGTCACGTTTTTTGTCTTACCGAAACTTTCGATAGTAATGGCTGCCAAAAACCGGCCATTCTGTTTCTTCGTCGGTAATTAAATAGCGCGGCGCGAGATCAGACGAACCGATCGTTCGTCGAACGAAACGTCCAGAAAGAACTTTCTTTCTGCAGGTTGTTACGCAATCAACGCAAATTACTTTCGACCGATCGCCGCTACGGCGGAACGGGTTTCCCGGTTCGATGATGCTCATCCGTGATTGTTTTCAACGTAGATGCGGAGATATCCTCTGGGATGACGAGGTAAAACCCGCAGTCCTACCAACGTTCCTTGCCCCATGAACTTTCTTACAGGCGTTGAAAAATGCAGTCGGATAAGTTTACTCTCAGGCTTTCTTCAGCGTCTCGAGGGTGAAAGTGAAGCGTAACTCTATCGTGATTTCACGTTTAAATAGATCAACGATCCGGTTTGCAATAATTCTCTAGAAGCTTTAAATCTAGAATGGGACACGGCTTGTCAAAACCATAGGAAAGTATCGACAACGCTTTCACGCGACTTTCGTATATTTGATGACTAAGTGGATTCAAAGCTTGACACGCGAAGACAGATCGATTCTCCACACGTGTTTCAAGTCTAACAACCTAGGAAATTACTAATCTTCATTATTTTTTAAACACGAACGTGGATTTTATCTTTTGGCGAGAGTCGAGGACATCGTCATGGGATGAAACGATGGAATACGAGACGAATCTAACTAACGGTCTTTCATACGTCATGCAGAAACGATCTCATAAGTTCATTCACCTTGGATTGCAAACTTCCTATTAATAAGTATCGATAGACCAAAGTGGTTCACTTTGTGTGTGTGTTTCTGCAAGGTTTAAAAGCCATGGTTTTGAAGCAATGGTGGTGGATGCAACTGACCTGGTATAGGCGTCCAGTAGATGATAGTGGCGACCACTGAGCCCAAGCCGACGATGATCGCGAGCCTGAAGAACATCGTTGCTGTTTCGTGACGACTTGAAGAAGTACCGGGAGAAACGAAACGCGCGTCAGAGCCAACTGGCCGGTTTCGTGGCCGCGGATATACTAGCACGATAGCGGCAAGTTCATTGCCAGGGAGAGAGTTGTTTGCCGATTAAAAAGAAAGATCTTTCAGCGACTGAAACGCTCGGTGCGCTCGAACGCGCGAGGTCTGTCTCGAGATCCTCACGCAAACACTGTCGTTTAGTAACGTCCGACCAGGTGAGGACAGTTACAATTACTCTCCAGCGGAAAAGCGTTCAACGAAACCTGGAATGCCGGCTGGACTTACATGGCTACTTACTGCACGGTTTGTTCAAGTAGTCGTTTTAGGAATATTTGCATCGTCACGCTTGATTTAATGAGGGACAATTGTGTTTGAATTGGTTTTACTAGATAGGAGGTATTCTGATTTCAAATTCAATGGAAATCGAATGCAAAGGGTGTAGAAATTATAGGAAGTATTCGTTCTATGGATTTCTTATTATGCAGCAAAGAGAAAATTCGTAGTTTTTTTTTTAGAGGAATTTCCTTCCGACTAGGAATTATGTGAGAATTTCTCTTCGTTTCGATTTCTTATCAGCAGTAAATTACTGGCGTGTAGAAAATCCGTTGGTTTGTAACTCGAAATTTGCTCTCTTTTGGGAAAGTGAGATAAGTTGACCTTGTTAATTGAGTGTCCGTATCTGATTATTGCTTGATCAGGCTTTCGAAAGATGATCACGCCTCCTACAGTTTCTAATTATTATCTCTGTTACACTTTTGATTTTTAGTAAGCTCGCTTGAAATATGTGTCCATCATGGAGACATGGGATGCACTTCTAATCTTTAGAATATCTATTTTTCTTGTAAGAAGAATTCGTAGAGCAAGACATTTAATTGGCTGGTCAGTCTTTTTGGCTTTCAAAAGCTGATAACTGACGCCTTCTTCAGTTTATAATTATTATCTTTGTTGTCCATCAGTGTGTCCATTTGGGATGCGCTTCTAATCTTTAACATATCTACTTTTCTTATCAGAAGACTTTCCTTGAGACTCCAATGAGAAACAAAAGTTTTAATAGAAATATAAAATCTTCTGGTCAGGCCTATAGTAGAGTGTCAGATTTGCATATTAACACTAGATTGTCCAAGGAAGTAATTTTGACTGGTTTTGGGCAAATGT